TTTCCTGTAAGATAGACCCTCTGGATCACTTATTTCATAAGGACAGAAGCCCAGTACATAGTTGGGTCTCTTCTGGCTGCTGCTTGGCCTCATCTGGGCAGTAATTTGGGCTCCCTACCCAGAGAAGTCAATAGGGCCCAGCTATTTACAAGAGGGATGGCTGCTGTGCCCCACTCAGAAGCATTTGAGGCCATTTTCTTTCACTGATACAGGAGAGAGATCCACTTACAGTAGAAATGCAGTCAGTTTGCAGAACTGAATTCAATTACCCAGCTCTGCAACTGGCCATAGTGTGCCCTGTGGTTAGAAGAAGGGGAACAGCATAAAGGGTTTATCTTGCTTTCTGTTTTCCTTTCCTTTCCTCTTTTTTTTTTTTTTAAGAAAAAGTATTAATTGAGCTTGTTAGCTTTCACATTATTTGTGGGAAGCTCCTCTCTGATAAAATGGGGATTTATTTAATGAGACCTGATTTTGACAGAGTGCATTGTAATGGAAAAAATTCCTACAGTGAACAAGTCAAATATTAAGATTAATCCCTGTCAATTTTATGGTCACATCCTTAAAGTTTAGACTTGGATTTTTCAGGAAGTTAAACACCTCCATTTTTTGCATAGCATATCGATTACTCCCATAAGCCTTTGAAAACTGATACCCACAAAAGATCTTGCTCCATACACCAACAATGGGTGTCCCTCCTCAAAGAAGCTGCTGGACATCAGGGCACAAGTGAAAGGTGAGAATCCACTGGTAGGGGCCTGCGTCAACTATATTCATTTTGACACTTACGGTCACTAAAATTCTCTAGGCCTCAGTTTCCTGTTCATAAACTCACTATAATATTATCCTCTATAGATAAGAAGATAGCATTTAAAAGAGTCTGTCATCTGCTTTCAAAGAAATAATATTTATGTAAAAACTAAAAAGGGTTTTGCAAAGAGCTGGCCTTTCAGTGTTACCCTGCTGAAGACCCTAATTACTCCTGAAGAGTTTACAGAAGTTGAGCTTATTCGAGTAGGTTATATGTTTTTTTTTTTTATCTTGTGTTCAAGGCCTCACATATTGTGAATTACTATGGATCTTATGTGCTCTCCAAAGTTTTACTCATGCTCAGTGAAGAATTGACACAGAAAGAGACAACATGAACTGAGAACAGATTCTAACTGTCAGTCAAAACAATTAGTAGGAAAAAAATTAAACCCATCCACAAATGTCTTTTTATTCCTAATTCTTTTTGCTTTTTAGATTTATACAGTCCTAGAAATACAGGATGGGAATCTATCTGAAGGCCAAACAAGGTAAGTTTTTAACTGACTTTAACACAAACTACGGCTCTCCTAAATTCTTAACTTCTAAGCTAAGCTGAAGGGATCAGCATGTTAAAGCAAATCCAAAATTGTACGGCATTTACATGGAAATCAGTGGGCCTTCAAAGTCCCTTCATCACTAGTTATTGGGCAGGAATTAATAGGGATATAGGTGTGGAACTGGCAGAGAGATAGCAATTTGGTCATGTTATCTGATGCCAGCATTTTTGTTGATACACCAGTTGATTTGTATACCAGGCAGTATCTTTCTATAAGAC